TGAACCCATTTCACACGCGACGTCAGAGCTAAGTAAAGTACAGTAGTGTGGGTAAGGATCATACCCTCAGAGGTAGCCACCCATACTAAGATTCGCCAAGAATCCTTGTCGATATGAACTTTCAGTAGCTAAAACCTGGAGGGGCAAAAAAAAAAATGTGAGTGGGCAAAAACAAAGCTTTTTAGAACCATTTTTCTTTCCAAAAATAATAACCCCTCACCGTAAAACCTGTATAATTTCCCAGAAAATAATAATACATACATACGTACATAAAAATCAGGCTTGAGACCAATGAAAACCAAAGTGAGTGCCATGTCAAGTATCTCAGTAATAAATATGTAAGCCAAGTGATGCAAATCAATATAAAAGATATATCAGCCGAAGTCACCTAACATGACCTGTACGGCTGAATCTATAGCTCATAAACAATTCCTGCACACGAGTCGGAACCACATAATGTGATCTGTATGACAGGCTATGTGTAAATAAATACGCTCAAGTGCTACGATCACATGAAGGCTGTGCAAAGTATCGCAAGTCACCTGTGAGTCAGAACCACCTAATGTGGTTTATACGACAGGCTGGCACCTGCCTTGGATCCAAGGTGAGCGTGTGGTGCGAGAGGTGAACGATCACATGAAGGCTAAGCCCTGACCTCGGGCAAAGCACTAACACCAGGGTGCAGGATAATGAGTACCAAATGCATCCAGACATAACCATATACATCACAATCACTAACATCATAATGTACTGATCTGTAACTTACCTGGGCTTCGTAGCATCATGCAACATTATGCATGACAACACTAATGCATATACTAAAATGTAACGCAAGTATGACATGGCATTTCAATCACACTTCATTTAAAACAATTTTTGGGAAAAACGTTACATACGTATATATAGAAAACCAAAAGCCCACTCACCTGGAGTCCGCGCTACAACTCCCTAACATAAATATCGAGATGTCTCGAACGACAGTCGCCTAAAACAAATATCAAATCACATCTCAGAATCCTTATTGATAGAACATGTAATTTACATAAAACACATCCCCCAAGGACGATCTAGAATGATTTAAGACCTATTGACCAAAAATCAACCATGGGTCAAAGATCGATGGTAAGGTCCACAACCCTACGTAACTCAATCTGGAAGATCCGCTCCTTAGATTTCCGATCAATAACTTTCAAAGATCCACATTATGTTTCTAAAACATCATCCTAAAATTTCATTACGATCTAACAGTTAGATCTCTGCCAATTGCAAATTTAAGTGGCGGTTAACGTTTTATTTTACAAATTTACAAATCCAATTCGGGAAGATCCATGCATCGGATTCTCGATCCATAAGTTCCTACAATCCTCAAATATTACGTACTAAAACATATTGAATTTTGGTGACAATCCAACAGTCAGATCGTCGATTCATATTTTTACCAAGCAACATACCTTAATCAAACTAGATTCACATAAACAAATCACATCATATGGATATAAAATCTAAGATCAATGTATCGATTTAACATAAAATAGCATCGGTGATCCACTGGCCATGCGCCGCTGTCGGTGGCGGTCGGCCGCCCCGACTAGTCAAAAAGTTCAACTATTTCTAAAAATTCTCAAATTTTACATGTATAAAGATCTCAATGAGTGGAGTAACTTTCATACCTGTCACTAAGGCCAATTTGACCGGGAAAAGCTCCAATTTAGCTCGAACCATGCAGAACCCTAAACTTGGGTGTGTTCGATTCAACCACCAAATTCACTCCAACGCCTCAAACATTGCTTGGGCTTTGTTCCTGAGGTTGAGGGGAGCCTAGTGGTGATGGTAATTTGCTGGGTTAACTTCACGATCGTCGGATTTCGCCAAGGCACCCATGGGTTTCATTCTACTTGAATTCAAGCTCAAACCCAATAAAATTTAGTTGGAAATGGAAGATGCGAAGATAAGGATTAGTTTTTGAGTGGTAGTGAGAGTTAGATCGCGGGAAAACCAACGGAAAAATGTCAAGAAGGCGGTGGTGTGGGTGGTGCTCAACGGGTTACACGGGCCAACCCGTGTCTCCCCTTCTTTTCTTCTCTCATTTCCCCTCCTTGCTCCTGTTTCTGATTGGTCACCTTCCTCCCTCATTTCCTCCTTTCTCTTCTCTCCTTCTCATCCCGGCAGTCGATTTCTTTCCTTCCTTCCATCCCAGCCACACACATGGCCTCACAGATCTTTGCTCTAGAAATCTGGAGCCTTCCAAGTTAAATAAAATTACCAAAATATCCCTAACTTTAAACATTAATAACTCTTCCGTTATAACTCCAAATCACGCCCTATTTGCACTCCGTGCGTCTGTAGCAATGCGTACTACAAGAATATGCCAAGAAAACGAACCTTAAGTAACATGACACGACAGTCAACAAAAGTCAACACTTTGCCTCGAAGGGCATTTTTGTAACTTCACTTATTAAAATTATAAAAATCATAATTTTTAGGAACAGGCTGTTCGAAACAAAATCATGAGGGCATGGTCGAGGCCCAAAAAACAATATCGTGCTATGGTGGAGTGGAGCCCGGGATGTGGTGGGGCCCGGGCCAGGATGTGACATGATTGATATATAGTCACTTCAATTTCCTTAAGATAACCCTTATGAAATTTGGCTATATAGTCACTTCACTTAAGTGACAAAAAGAACCAAAAAACCTTTCATTCATGATATAGCCAACCTTCTAAAGGATTTAGGTTGTTTGGGCCCTTTTGAGTCTTTATTCATTAAGTTGTCATACAACTTAAGTTAATGGGCTTGACGATTCTAAGCCCATTGGGCCTTAAGGTCCAATAATTACTCAAAAGCTAAAACGAACTTATTCATTTGATTAATTAACATATTAATTAATCCTAGCCATAAATAATTAAACAATTTAATTATCCTTACTCATCTCCATTATTTCTTCAATCTCTACCTTACACGGTGTATGATCCATTAGGTTCTTTTTAGCAAGGCAGTGGACGATTAGAACTCTTCAAATCGAATGTGAATTGAAACTTATTTTTCAATTCTCCCTTTAGTGATTATACACTTTTAGGGCTTTCACAAACCATAAGTGACACCTAGCAGTATGTCATGGCTACCCAAGTTAATCATAAGAGGTGGAGAACCTATTCAATTTGGGATTACAATGCAATACGATCTTTCTCTAATACAATACTTTTGACCACATTGTTTGGTTTTATAGTTTATTTATGTCTACTATCCAATTTGATTCTCTTACTTATATGATTACCTTGAATGTGATTTGGAATGACTTCCTAAATCTCATTCATACTCTGGCCAGATATTCTTAAGCATATCATAGAGAATTCTCCCTCAAACGGTTTGAAGGTTAGAGATCCATTGTTGCACATTAACTTGCCTCCATGAGTAAGTGGCTTAACCCTAACTATGTCGTGGACACCTTCTGATAGAGTGACTTTGAGATAATCTAAGATCAAGGACCTAACCATAAGACAATTATGATGCCTCAGATTAAATGACTACTTTGCATTATCCCAACCATGAGTTCTCATGTGACATGAGTATAAGAACTCCTTGTTGATCGCGTTCAGTGGACTCATTCTCTATTGAGCACCTACATGCTTGTTTTGGTGTCAGTCACACTAATGACTCGAGGCCAGTCACTCTCTCTAAGAGAAGACATAGTACGTATTGATCTTAAAGGACTGTCAATGCCCAATTGACAATCCTATGATCAGGAACGTTTAGGATATGTATACGAAAGAGAATGGTCTTATGAATCTAACTTCTTTAGATCACATTCTCCCCAATTACATATTCCTTGGACTTATCTCTTAAGCATATAACATTTATATGAGACAGTTTTAAACAATAATCTTTGCCCTTTATATTAAACTAGATTAGTTTAACATGTGAAATGTCCGTAAAGTATCATCATATGATTGGCATTAGGGCATATTTCCAACATCAGCTTTATTAGTAGAACTTGTATTTTGGCAATTATGGCCTGAACATATGATTATGCATGTATTAGAGAGTCGTAGACCCATGAAGTGTGGTCCTTCGGGGATGAGTTGAAATAAATGTGATTCCTACCAGGGATTTTAATTTGGATTTATCCGTATTTTAGGGGAAGTTTTGCCAAATTTTCAGTAGATTTTAATAGTTGATAGGTTTAGTTATGACTTCGTCACCCATCCGGGTGATGGCTAGCATGCCTCGACTTCGGTGCTACTAGATTTTCGATTCGGGGTGTCATGATTGGGGTTATGGATTCATTTAGGGTTTTGGTTGTTTTGGGATTTGTTAGCTCATAAGTGGGTTATGCTACATTTTGGTGTTATGGTTTTTTTAGTTGTTAGTTTAGTCATTTGGATTTGTCGCGTTTATAGTTATGTAATCTTGAATTTCGTATCTTGTACACGTGTTTGATATATTGTTAAAATTGTTTAATAAATATCATTATTTCTTAGAAAGAAATAAAGTAAGCTCCCAGTTTTTTTATTTTTTTTATTTTTTGCCAAGAAATGGAAAATATATAAAAATATTAGACAATTTTGGAGATTAGTTCCTAAATTTGGCCCAATTGAAGTTTTAGTCCTTGAAATAAAAAATTCATGAGTGTTGATCTGTGAACTTTACATAAATTGTCACACATTATAGTAAATTCATAGGTCAATACTCACAGATTTATTTAGAGAACTATTATTAGCACTTCAAAAATTTCATCTACATTCCTCACAAATGTATTTTTATTTTTAGTATAAAAAGTTAGGAGTGCAAAATGAAAATTTTGAAATACCAATAACAATTCTCTTTATTTAATTACAATAATTCAATGAAATTAATAAAATCCTGTTAATTAAATTGAAAAACCAACCCTGCAATTAAGTCGGATATTAATCTTGTTTACCATTTATATACCCAAAATCATCAAATCTTGTGCACCAGGGCATGCAATCAACTAGGAAAGTGACACATGATAAAAACGGTGTCTCATCTTTATGAGAAAGAGCAAAACAGAGAGATAGGAGAGAGAGGAGGGATCGGCCCGCAAATCCCAATCCCTAACAGCCATGAGAGTCCTTCATCCCACAAACCATCCATCAAAGTCGGGCACAGCCCCAGCTGAGGACGACCCTGACGCAACCCGACCCACTATGCTCGGCCTGGGCATGTCGGTGGCCGGCGGTCTACGGAAGAAGGGGCTTGGCGTGCGGCCATGGTTGCTTCTGGACTCGAGCGGGCAAGCCCAGGTGGTAGAGGTCGGCAAGCACGCCATCATGCGGCGTACAGGTCTACCCGCTCGGGACCTTCGGATCCTGGACCCGCTTCTTTCATACCCGTCTACGGTTCTGGGTCGAGAGCGAGCTATCGTGATCAACTTGGAGCACATCAAGGCCATCATCACCGCCCAGGAGGTCCTGCTGCTCAATTCCCGAGACCCTTCTGTGACTCCATTTATTGAGGAGCTTCAGCGGCGGCTTTTGCGCCACCACCAAGCCACCACCAAACCCGCAAAAACCCAGGTTCCAAAAAGTTTCAATTTTTCGTCTAATTACCATTCTTTACGATTATAATTGTGATTTTTTGTATTGGGTTGTGTTGTGTTGTTAATTGTGATTTTGGTTTTGTGTTGTTAATTTTGGGTGTGTGAAGGAGGGCAATGGCGAAGAATCGAATTGGTATGGCATGGAAGAAGCAGAGGCAGATGCACAGGTGAGAGGAGCGGCTGGTGGAAATGGGGAAGGGGAGGCAACTGGGAAGCAAGGTCTGGAGGATAATCGTGATGGTTTGAAGGTCCTGCCTTTTGAGTTTGTTGCATTGGAGGCATGCCTTGAGGCTGCTTGCAGTGTCTTAGAGAATGAAGTAAGTGAATATCATTTTCCAGACTGCCTCATTCAATAATCCGTTCCATCCTTTCTAAACTTGTTTTCCTTGTTTTTGTGGATTTGATAATAGGCACGGACATTGGAACAAGAAGCTCATCCAGCTTTAGATAAGCTCACTTCAAAGATTAGTACTCTCAATTTAGAACGCGTCCGCCAAATCAAGAGTCGCTTGGTTGCAATTACCGGCCGTGTTCAGAAGGTTAGCATAGCATTTGATAATCCAGACCCTTTCCTTTCATGGCAAAAAATAGGTGTCGGGCTTTTGCCGTGGATTAACCAATGCATGAACTAGATCACTTGCTTGGTGCTAAACTTGTTATGTATTATGTTGGCCTCTAGGTGAGGGATGAACTAGAACACTTGCTTGATGATGACGAAGATATGGCGGAAATGTATCTAACTGACAAGTTGGTTCAGCAACATCTTGAAAATTCGTCCACTTCCTCCTTGGGTGAGAGAGATGACATGGATCCTGAAGCTCCACGATCAGACATGGATGACAGGCAAGGCAACTCATAATCTCATTCTCATTTTAATTTATAGGAATGCCAGTTCTTCACTTCTTTAATTTTCCTATTGTATTGTATCAGGGATCCAACTGAAATTTCAACGGAAGCTGGTGGGGATCCCTTGAATTTTGATGGTGATCCTCAAAACAGTGATAACCACCGGCATCAAGATCTTAGAAGGGACAGCCATGTGACCACAACTAGCTCCTCACATAGTGCTATGGGAAAGGTCCTTGATGTAGAAGAGCTGGAAATGCTTTTGGAGGCATATTTTGTGCAGATTGATGGTACACTAAACAAGCTATCCACGGTACGCAAGTACATTTTACCTCTCAATTTTGTTCAGTTCAAATATCTGTAAGTGAACATAATTTAAAATAGAGAGTGGTGACATAGAGGATGGTGATGCCAGCAGCCAGCCTAACACTTGCAATGGAGGTCAGTTCAGCGATTGCCATCTTCACAACGCCAGCCATTGCTGGTATCTGGGGGCTGCTCCCATGAGCAGTGCCCGTGGCAGTGGATGGGCGCTTTCTCATTAAGGCTAGTAAAATTAAAAAGAAATAAAAAAGATATGGTTAAACATATTTTAGTAATATTGGAGCTGGATAGTAGGTGGGTTAGTAAGGGTTTTCCTAAGTTGAGGTTCATCTGTTGTAATCAGTTTCTTCTGAGGAGCATAAATATACATCTGTTTGTCTTATGGTCAGTGTTGTTGCATATGAGAATTGCAACCATGATCAGTGTTAGGCTTTCCCTTGGTTTAGGGAAATTCTTCACAGTTAGCTATGAAATCGCTGTTTTTCTGCAACAGTTTTAACTCCGTTGATAGTATCTCTCGATAGAGACTATGATTGAGATGCAGATAATGTGAACTCTTTTTCTAGCCTGTTTGATCACAATTTTTCCTAATGAAAGATATAGATCATGTCTTGTGAAGTTTAAGGATTAATATTTTTTTATGTAATTCATCGTTATTCATGGAATCTCTTCCTCTTATCATCAACAAATCTCTTCATGCATTATGTTCGTTTTAATATTTGTAGTGTTTTATTTTTTGTATATGTTTTTTTCTATTTTACATTGTTGTCTTTTTGCAGTTGAGGGAGTATGTTGACGACACGGAGGATTACATCAACATAATGTTGGATGACAAACAGAACCATCTCCTGCAAATGGGGGTCATGTTGACAACAGCAACCCTCGTTGTGAGTGCCTTTGTTGTTGTAGCTGGTGTCTTCGGCATGAATATCCAAATTGATCTATTTGATAAAGATAAAGCAGGGATGCGAGAGTTCCTCTGGACTATCGGTGGCAGCACTGGCGGGACCATATTCTTATATGTGATAGCTATTGGATGGTGCAAGCATAAGCGCTTGCTGGAGTAGTGAGGACAGGCTGTTTATTATCAAGAACGTACCTAAAACGGAAGTGTATGCTGTGTTTTGGTAGACGTCCTTTGGCGACACCAGCACTACTCTATGCAGCTTCTTCGTTTACCGTACGTAATGCCAATATGCATGCAATAAATATGCACATTCGCATTGTACTTTGTTTTCGTAAGAGAATAATGTTTCAGGATGTGGAGGAGGATCTATATGGTTCGATCCCTCCTCCTACCTTGTGCTTCCTGACCATTAACTGGAATACTAGTCGAGGAACTGATGAAGAAAGTGTCGAAGTTTGAGGAATCTTAGGCGGCCTGAATTGGCAGAACTTAACTCACAATGTATCCTGTTTGACATTTTGAGTTTTACATGTAACAAACTTGAATTTGAGTTTGCTCGTGTGTGACCGGAGTCCTGTCCTGCGGTGTCGGTAAATGTTCCTTTGAAGTGGCAGTTTGAGATTTGCAACGGAGACTTGTTAAAAGCACAATAAGTAAAACTGCAACATGTATCAAGTAAAGCTACTACAAATTAGTTCCAACGCTACTTATCTTTCCAATAGTGACGGATGTCTCAGGTCCGAATCTCCGCATCGCGCGTATAAGTAAAATATATTTTGATGTTTTGGAGCTTGTGGGTGATACGTGATTGAATGTAGATGTCTTAGTTGCATCAATCTTTTTTATTTGGTTGAATGTTTTTAACAGCAGTACACATATGTTGTGTCTTCACAAGTCATCTATCTTTGTTTCCGTCCATATCGATTATTTCCGGACGAATGTATATGATTTCTTCCTTGAGTTGCACTCCAAATTTCTGATCAACCTTTTCCTTCACTAGAGCAAGGAGGTGAAGCATGTCTTGAGAGGTTGAGCCACCGCAGTTTATGAAGAAATTTGCATGCACTTTGGATACCATTGCCCCTCCCACTCTAAAACCTTTCAACCCGGCTTTCTCAATCAACTCAGCTGCTGCAACTCCCATATCCAATGGATTGCGGAAGACCGAGCCAGCGGTTTGTTCCCCAACCGGTTGAGACATTCTTCTCCTGCAAATTTAGCCACACTACACCCATAAGCGTCTGCAAATCACCTCCTTTTCCTATAAGAATTTTAAACTTGCAAGGAAAGTGATATCTCACACCCTTGATTATTTCTGGCATTTGGATTCAATAAATCAAAGGAGAATTAGGGGACATAAATAAAAAGGAGTGTGCGGAAATCATTCCCCGTTGGAAAAACTTCTCTCTCTCTCTCTAGATGAACTAGACTACCTTTCCATGTATTCATGCTGCCTTCTCTTTGCTGATCCTGAATGCTGCAGTTCAAATGTAACAGCAATGATGGCTGCCAATTCTTCCATAACTTGAAATGGAGATGACCTATACCTGAAAACGAGATCAGTCCTGCTAAACCTAAGAAACTTCCCATCCATTGTTACAAATTCAACACTACGTATAGCATTAGCAGTCTCCTGCCCGTTTGCTCCAGCATTCATATAAGTAGCTCCTCCCACAGTACCAGGAATTCCTCCAGCAAACTCGAGTCCTGTGAATCCTTCATTGGAGCATTGCACCCCTAACCGGTTAAATCGAAAGCCACTTCCAACTCTGTATATACCAGGTTCCTTCTTCTCCAAGAACTCGATCCGGTTCAATATTACACAACCATCAAAACCCACATCATCAAACAAACAGTTAGAGCCTTTACCAATGACAACGAACCTGATTGAGTGCTCACGGCAGAATCTGCATAGTTTTCAACCAAGCAAACCATTTTACTGAATTTGGTTCCAGTTTGTAATAAATTAGTTTACCTCGTTAACTCGGAAAAAATTGTCTGCAAAATTTTTTGTCTTCATGAAAAGCAAAATAGAAGATCGGATGGAATGCTAAACAGACAATGGGCCTGGTAGAAGCAAAAACCGCTTTCTGCCAACTAACAGTGCTTCTCACTACGTTTGATTGAATTTTTTTTAAGCACTTCTAGTTTGTAGAAGCGCTTTTTGGAGAAGCACTTCAAAGTGTAGCACTTGTATTTTTAGTAAAAATTCAACCTTCTTCAAATAAAATGACTACTAGGTTAAAGCGCTTATGAACAAAAGTGCTTTCTACAAAAACAATCTCAAACAGGCCCATTTCAGACAGATTAAAATGCATAAATGTATTTGCAACCCAGAATTAAAAAAAATAAAAAATAAAAAAAACCCCAGAAATCAGCTTTCAGAATTTGAGACCACAATCAAATTCAGAGGATGTATTGCATTATATAATTAGAAAAGAAATGCAGAACAACACCTGATAGCAGAAACAAGTTGGGTCTGATCGAATACTTGGATAAAATAATTGCAAGGGCCTCCAATGCCCCAAGTGCTGAGATCCTTCAACTGCTTCTTCCCCCGAATAAATTTCAACCCTTTGCAGTTGTGGGTTTGTCTTTGGTCTTTGCTGAAGCTGCTGCTTTGACTGCACAGAAAGGGAAAAGGGCCTCTGGTTCTTGGTGCATGCAGCAAGATCCCAGGAGACCTGTAGCAGGGAGGGATTGACAGGGAAGGAGAAGGGCTCATTGTTAACAGTTTTACATGCGTTCTTGGAACAACTGTTCGTTTTTTTTTTTTACTTTGCACTACTCATTAGTTGAAAACTATTCACACTATTGGGCTTTTCCAAAATAAAAGTCAATCTCAACTAGAGCCCACAACCAAAACATTGTTCTAAATTGAGCCCAACCCTAAAGAAAATTGTAACAATAGTCCTTCAAATTTAACTTCATTAGAGCAAATGGTCCCTCAACTAAAAATCCATGACCATTGGTCCCTTAACTCATCAAAATGTGTAGTTATGATCTTTTTCGCCAACTCTGCCAAAATGAGTCATGTTGGAATGATCATTGCTACAATTGGGTTAAAGTTGAGGGATCATTGCTCCAATTGGGTTGAAGTTATGAGACCATTTCTCCAATTGGCTAAAGTTGATAGATCATTGCTACAATTTTACTCATTTTTTTTTCCATATTTGCCACTAGATTCAACCTCACGTGTGTGGCACGTGACTTATCTTGATGGAAGTTCTAACAGAGTTGACGAAAATGACCATAGCTGCACATTTTGTAGAGTTAAGTGATCAATAATCATGAATTTTTAGTTAAGGGACCAGTGCTCCAATTAGATTAAAGTTGAGGAATTATTACTATAATTTGCTCTCCAACGATATTTAGCCCAAACTATCTGCTATTCATTTTCTATTTCATATCATTCCTATATTTAGTAAAATTCCAAATATTGACTTTTACAAGATTTTCTTTCTTTCAAGATTAGGTCTTTTTACATATGCCTCTTGTAACTTTGTAAGAATTAAGTTGTGACAAGATGTAGCCCTTTCATTTATGTAATTGTCTTGACAATTTGAGACTTATTCTTTCTTTTGTGTCAATAGGATGAAAATATGAGTTTAGAATTAGTTTTTCTTCTTTTCCCGTAGTTTGATCTGTTAACATATTTCCATTATTGATGGTAAACGCACAAAAAATGTCCCGGTGGTAACTGCAATCTTCTTTCATACTTTTTATAAGCTCAACTCTTATTTTTGGTGTGGAGTAAGATACTAAGATTGTACATATTAGGTTTTTATTTTTTATTTTTTTATAGTAAGGAATAAAAATTCGAATTTGAATATTTTTAGGCTTTTTAATCAAAATGGTTTCTGAGATTTGTATAGCTCCTCACTCGGGTTCCTGAGATTTGAAATTGATAAAATTGGTCCCTGAATTTATCCATAATCAATCATTTTGGTCATTCCTTAAAAAATCTCCATAAAATAAGGATAAAATGACAAAAATATCATCAATTTTTGTCAAATCATTTGGGCCTATTGTTTATTATATTGAGGGTAATTTTGTCATTTTGATCTTTATTTAACATAATTTTTCACCGAATGATCAAAATATTGATGATGCACAATCTTAGGGACTATTTCTATTGATTTCAAATCTCAAAGACTAAATTGAAGAGTTAGGCAAATCTCATGGACCATTTTAACTAAAAAACTACAAAAATAGGTATTGGGCAAGTACACAGTAAAGTTTACATTGGCCGAACCCCGAACATATTTGCAGTAAATCTACCACATTTGTTTCTCAACCCCTATAATTGGGTGTAATAATTAAGAACTTTTGCTAGGATGAAAAGCTTTCACTTTCTATCTGATGGACATCGATCAAGATCTCTAATTCTAAGAAGGTAGATCTTTGCATTGCTCCTATAGCTGCAGGTGCAGGTACCTTCTGACTAATTCATAATTTTTCATGCAGGACATGCAGGTCCATGGAAGAGACGATAAGAGCTGCTGAGACTCTGTCTTACTAATTGGGAACACTTGAAATTAAATGGCACTGGAGGCAGCTGGGACTCAATGTTACAACACAATAAGAAACAACAAAACCCTTCCCTTACTTCCTTTCCCCCTTTATTCTAATATGTTTGCAGAAATTGGAGGTTTTGTCTTGTAGGTGGTTGGAAGGGCAAATGGTGTTTTCCCCCATACCTTTTTTTTATTCTTATCCAGTTATCTATGCTTTTCTGCAATATGATGGAATGCAGTGAGGCAAAACATGACTAGCCATCACTATATATATCTTTGACTTTAAATTGCTTTAAATTGCTGGATATTCTTTTAGAATAATAATTGAACTCGATTCTTCTTATAGATAAATTACAATTTGACAAAATGCATAACTTTTTATTTTGTTGTTTTATAATCACTTATGTATGTGTCAGTTTGTAATTTATAATGAAGTGAGAATAGCTCATTAACCATAAGCAGTCAATCTGCATTCTTCGTTTTATTATATGTTTCTTTCCTTTTTTTTTTATGGGTTTTGATTGACTGCATGGAAGATTCCCATTACTGAAACCCCAAATTTAAAAAATCCAAAACAACATGTGGGTAGGACTTGGAATTTTGACAACTTTGACAACTTTGACATCCTAAATTCCCAACTTCCATTTTATCTTTATCCTCTTTCAAATTTTTTAATAGAAACAAAGTTTTTATTCCAATAGGAATTGGATTTTAGGGAACAAAGAATGCCAAGGAATGACACATAATTGTCATGACATAAAGTCCAATGACAGCTTCACAGCAGACAAGCTTGGAGTGTGCAAAATTACATCAACAAATAGTATTTAAAATAGTAAATAACAAATAAAAAAATGGGATCCTTCCAAATGAGATAAAGAAGCACAGATTAAACAAGATGGGGGCATGTTCCATTGGGTCAGGGAGATCTCAGGCAGGATCTCCTGGCCTTTAGAGAAAAAAATCATGGAAAAAATGCATATCAATATTCCAACATTTTAGTTTGGCCTTTCCCTCCCTCGTTTTTCTATACTCTGATCAGACTGCCCATCACCCATTACACTTTACATCATCCTGTCTGGATTTTCATATGCATTTTAAGCCCTAAATTTTTTAAGAGAGAACAAGTATATGATTATTCAGCATGCATGGATGGAGCATTTGTCTGGACACTAGGGACATCAAGGGTCTTGTCCTTATTAATGCCTAAAGTTTTTATTTTTATATTTTTCCAAGATTTTGTTTTACGATCTGGACAGATTGATTGAAAGCTTTATCTAAAATGCAGATTTGATGAGGAAATCCCACCTAATCAAATGTGATGATGATTCAGCCATTTTTATCACGTAATTTGTGTACTAGCCAAAAGAATTAGGTGGATTCTTCATTTTTGTCCTCACTATTTTATTTAGCTGGTTTAATTAATTATTGGAAACAGCTATCTTCTTTGTTATGCTGAAAAAGTACATGAATTAGGTGGGGAATAATGGCCGTTGACAAATTTGGAAAAGAAACTCAAAATCAAATAGTAGTAAAAAAAACTCACGATATTAAACCTCAAATTTTCTCATTTAATTGTTATGAAAACAACCATTTTTTGACTTTTGGTTTTCCTTAAGTTATGGAATTAGAAAACTTGGAGACATTTTAGGCACTGCAATGGCATGGTAAAAATAGCATGAGGATACACAAAAAAGTAGAACAACGATTTTCACTCTTTGTATTTTCATGTACACTTTAATTTATTTATATATTCGAGTCGAATAATGCAAATAAGAATCAATGAACAAAAAATAACATAAATGTACATAAAAAGAAAATGAGTGTGCATAGCTTATTTCGAAAAAATTAAGTGCTGCATTGGATACACATAGACTGCCTAAATGAAAAGGCTTAGCCCTTTTCTAAATTGTTGGAAAGGTGGTAGGGGAGGTATAGTAAGTTAAAGAGGTCACCTCATTTGCACCACCTTTCCCACCGCATTGACAAGTAAAAGAAAAATAGAAAAGAAATGAAAAATAAAAAAATAAAAAAATAAAAATGAACATGCAAGATCCCTTTCGAGATCCAATTCCATCTAACTTTTGCAGCCTTTGTAGATCCCACCATTCCCTACTACTAGAGCTAGCAACTATTGCAGCAGCTGCCATACAATCATGTGGCTAGTAGAAATACAAAGAGCAGCAGCTGATGAAGATTCCCTTTTCCCTTAACCTTTCCCTTATATCTCATTCCCATTCCCTAGCTACCCTGGAAACCACCTACATGTCAAGAAAGAAGCTCGTTCAGTTTAAAGAACACAAAGGAAATTAAAGAATGCAATGTATTTGTAAGCTAATGCATAAATTGTAATAATTTTTTTCAAGGAAGAAGAAAACAAATGAGGACTCACTGGTTATTTCCAGATAGATTACTAGATTGTAAGAAACCAAAGTGCAGCTCTTGGTATGCAGATCTCCCCTGCAAGAAATTAATATTTTTATTAATCTTTTTAAACTATAAACCCAAAAAACACAAATCTTACAATAACTAAGCAAAAAACGAAAACAAGTACCTGAAAATGTGTAGATGAGAAACCTTGTGAATAATCCAGAACACTGCTTCCAGAAGCTTGATTATTTGACACAATGAGGTTATTCTGCAAAAATTTCAAGACCCCATCAAATATGATAAAAACCCATTCACATTAATGGATACATCAGTGCATGTTGATAAAATTTAACATAATTTTGGCCACAATACTTACATTATTTAATACATCACCATTTTGACGGTTAGATGGTGATTGTGTAAAATACATATTATCACTTCAATTATATCTAACCGTTAGATGATGATTGTATTAAATGCATGGAAGTATTATAGTTAGTCTCTTAGTTAAATACTAATTACCTTGGAGTAGTTGAAGACAGGAGAGCTAGCAGTGTCATCTAAAAAAGATTGTTGTTGTTGTTGATCACCACACGAGCGCCTACCTTTTCCCTTGATATTATTTCTTTGCTTCCTTTTTCCTCCAGTCTTCAAATTTTCTGCATCCTTGGATATTTGAGGAGGATAAGAACACCCATTATTATTATTGTTGTTGTTTTCATCAAGGTAGACTTCATTTTCATTGAAATGTGGAGGCCCAGAAGATGCATCAGAAACCATTGATTGATCTTCTTCTTCATCATCCGGCTCCTCATCAACTTGTATATCACAAAAATCAGACTTTCTCTTTCCATTCATATCTCTGCTGCGTGAAGCACTTGGAATATGAGAAAGATAATTAGAGTGCTCCAAGTATACAGTCCAACCAGACTCACAACCGCTACTGCATTCTGAGGCAAACACATTCATTTTTCTACTCTCCCTTTCACAAACTATAATCTCAAATGGTTTCGATTCCTTTTAATATAACACGAAGAGAGAGATATATAGGTAAATAATATAGATGAATATCAACACCTCTCTCTCTCTCTAACCTCTCTTTAGTTAATTAAGTAGATATGATATATGGTATATCTCAATGGAGGACTGGTGGAATGTGTTTCTCTATATTTGGACTTCACACACCAAAAGTTATGTACATATAGGAGAGTGTGGAGTGAATTTAAAAAGAAAGGAAAAAGATGAATAATTTGACTTGTTTTGTCCCGACTCTGACTCACCTATCTTCCCCATTCAGCTCTTTGTGAGAATGAATCAAAAATGCCAGTTGGGAGGAGGATTATAGTGGGTGCGTGAGAGAGAGAGAGAGAGAGAGAGAGAGATTAAAATTAAAAGAGAGAAATAGCTAGAAAGAAAGAACGAAAAATATGAAATAAGAGAGGCACAATATCCCTTCACATGCTAAGACAGCTAGGCACTGTGTACCCTCTTAACATAACTGGGCACACCTTCATTTCCCCTTCCTCGACCAGTATATGGACACCTATCCCTTCATATCAGTACTAGCCATTGCCTCTCTCTCTCTCTCTCTCTCTCTCATCGTTGTTGGTGATGACATTAGCTTGATTGGATCGGGCATGGGAGTTTTTTAAGTATGAGATTTTTCGAGCAATCTTGTGGTCCTTGTAAAGATGTTTTAGTAGATATATAAAGCAACGCAATTATATGATCCGCATGTTATTTGAACTAATAATTTCACATACTCTTCAAGTTCAAAATACTTTCCTCCTTTCTGATATTATTAGTTAGCATATGTCTAGGGTTTACTGTGTTTAGGCAATTTGGCTTGGAATCTACAGCGCCTTAATTTCCGCTTGAAATTACCTTATGTAAGCCAACTTTTTCTACCTCTATGTGATTGACTACATACAAAAGAGTTAGTAAGAGTTGGTAAGAGTTAGAAAGGGTGTTATGAAAGTAATTCTACTAAGGTTTATCAAAAGATTTCTCAACATTGGTACTATTGCAAAGATGAATAATGCTAAAAACAGTCGTTCATGTACTCATGAATAACAATATATCATATATTTATGTGAATTTTATTGCACATGTATGTGACTCATACTAATTGATGAATGACAATCACCCACGTGTCCATAATTTTTACGATATATTCACGTGTGCGTAGTTTGACTATTACTTCACTTGTAATTAGAATACATAAGATTTAGACTAGATCTAGACATAACCAAATACACAATGCAAAAGAATGCAGGACAAAAAGTAGGTGTATTTGGAAGTTATTGTTTACTCTCAAGAATCAAGCCACAATAATTAAAAAGGTTAAGCACAAATTAAAAGTTTAATAGGGCATGGCTGCATGAGTGGAAACTGTAGAAATTTCTTGGGGCAAAGCTCAGTTGAGTGGGTGTTTTTGAATCCACATGCAACCACATTCACACCTCTCTCTCTCTCTCTTTGCCCAAATTCTGCAGAGAGATTTACTCTTTACCTCTAAAAGGACTGACACACGCATGTGAGCACGTGTGCATATGCATATGCAGAATTCCCCGCATATATACACACGTCTACACGTTCACGCGCACTCCAACCTAAACTGCTCTTTCAAAGCTGCATTTTAAAATTGGTCACTCGTGATGACATATATTTATCTTTGGTGCTACTTCCAAAGTTCCAATTAACGTTAACTTCCTTCATTCTTCACATCTTCCCTTTCAAATTTTTTGTTTTCCTTCCTCCCATTTTTAAACAATGTGCTCTAATTGGTAATACTATTATTATTTATTTCTCAAAAAAAAATATTAAAGACAAAGCAAAGTATATTACACATGTGGTGGTCAAATAGAGGGGCACAAGAATAAGTGCTAAACTTATCCTCAGCTGCATAAACTTTCATCAACACGTATCGATAATAATTGACGCATATAAGTTTGTATATAATTATCAACTCTATATAAACGAGCTAAATGTACGAAAAGGAATGAAATGTTCGATCACTCTCTCTCTCTCTCTCTTTCTTGCGCATTTAACGTGATCTTGAATGTTAACACATCCTAATATATATATATATATGCATTGATAAATGATCAGAACTAATTTACGTGCGTGTTCATACACACTTAGCACTGCTCATGCATGTGAAGGATGAAAAACCTAGTGCTACAATATAGTACATGAACCAGTAGGGCCACCGCACCTATGTATACATGTATGGTACGAAGGTTAAACTTTAAAAAGCCATGTGCATTCCCCATTGGATCACTCAGTATTAACAGCCCATCCAAATGATTCATTATTAGGGACCTCGAAGTGTTACTATCAAACCCATCCAATTTGGCAGTGTACTAGATTGTACCTTCAAAGATTAAATTTGATCTCTCTCTCTCTCTCTCTCTCTCTCTCTCTCTCTCTCTCTCGATTGATTAAAGAAAAAAAATAGGTACCCATGTCCCATCCAGCTCATATGGACCATACTTTGACAAATGCTGATTGCAGGGCATAAACAAACATTGGACCATAGACTAATCTATCATTTTGACCTCATCTTCCCTCAATGAACTGCTCAATTGTTTGTTATTTGAGTAAAGTGCGGTTTCACATTTGAACTATTGTTTTAGTTAAAATTAGTTTAACTTTTTAAATTATTTGAAATTAGCTAATTAATCCCTCACTATTAGATTCGATAAAATTTCATAATTTTGTCATCAAATACAGAAACGTGACCAATTCGTGATTCACTTTTGAAGGTAAAGTTGTGCCAATATTTGATGGCAAAGTGAATGAAACTTTATTGAATCCAACAATTAAGGGTTAATTGGATGATTTTGAATAGTTCAAGAGGTTAATTTATCAAAAAATAATTTAGAGGGTAATTTTTAACTGGAATAGTAGTTCGATGTTAAACAACAATTTATCCTATTATTTTTTGTCTGATGATATGATGAGCAGTAAACCTACTTAATTAGCACATAAACACGCTTAGATGAGCAATTAATCTAATTGGATGAGCATTTAGTCCTCAAATGTAATGCTTGCCATCTTCATGGAGTAAACATGACATTTGTGTCATGTTTTTCATGTTCGTGTCGTTTTCGTGTCATACCCGATATCTTAATGGGTCGTGTTGCGTAACATCCGTTAAAGTAAACAGGTAATATGACTTGACCCAAAATCGACTCGTTAATATTATCAAGTAATATGACCCAACCTGACACATCCCGGCCCGGGGCGGATCACTTCTTGGGCCCGCTCCACCACTGTAGCACGATATGTCCGTTTTCGGCTTACCATTCCCTCAGAGCAACTCCAGCGTTGGAGCCCTCCCCCTGGCAATACACTATTCAATCCACCTAATGAACAGTAATTGCCCTTAATAAACAGTAAGTAGCCCTGGCAATAGATTTTGCATCTCCACCGTTACACTTCTATAGCCCTGGCAATAGGCAATAAAATATTAGTATTTTTTTTATTTATAAAATTAATACAAAATAATTTAAAATGTAATATCGGATAAGATTTTTAATCGTTCTCGTTGCGCCACGTGTCATTATCCGAAGTATTATTAAATAATACAAAATAATACAATTATTGGTGATGGATTTCTGATAAGATTATTAACCAATCACGTCGCGCCACGTGTCATAATCGGTTCACAATCTTTGAGGATAGATTTCCATCAGATTTTAAACGAATGACGGCATGCCACGTGTCATAATCTGTTAACAATCTTTGATGATAGATTTCCATCAGATTTTTAACGAATGACGGCATGCCATGTGGCATTATGCAGAACCTAATCCTTTCTGAATCCTCTATATAATCCACCTTCCATCTTGACAAATCTCACACCAAAATTCTCAAACTTTGAGACAAAGAAAGGAATGTGATTGAAAGTAGTTGAGAAAATATGAAATTGTTGTGTAAGGTAGATGATAATGAGAAGGTATTTATAGAAAAGTAAAAACAATTTTTTTTACAATTTTTTTCAGATTTTTCAGATATTTTTTTGAATTTTTTACAATTTTTTTTAAATTTTTATTCAATTAATTAATCTCTGCCGTTGGATATAAAAAAATTTGAATTCCAACACTCCAGATTGTGCCACGTGTCACAACGGTAACTTTTCAGATTTTTAAAACTATTTTTTCATTTATTTTTTAATTTATAAAGCATTTTAATATCCACCGTTGATCTCAGATCGAACGGTGGATATTAAATCTGACACTTTTTTTTTTTTTACCGTTGAGATCTAACGGTCCACATTAAGTGACCGTTAAGATCTAACGCACCGTGGGAAGCCACGTGGCTTCCCAACGGTAACTGACACTTTATTTTTTAAATTTTTTTTGTGTCGGCGACGCGCCCCCACACGAGGGTGGGGTGCACGCGCCTGACACAAAAAAAATAAAATAATGCGTTGACGCCACCCTGGCGTCAGCATTGCGTCACCCCCACCTCGGGCTCAAGGCCTGGCAATCCCTCACGGGCCTGGCCCTCTGGCCTCCCCCTTCCATCCGGCTCCCCCACGCTGGAGCCAACCCACCGGCCCTCGGGCCATTGTTTTGGAGCCCGTCCCCCGAGCTAAACCCCACGCTGGGGATGCTCTCACGGTTTTGTTTTTGGGAACTCACGAGCAACTTCCTAGTAGGCCACCCATCATGGGGTTGCTCTAGCCCCCTTCTCGCTTAACTTCGAAGTTCCTACGGAACCCGAAGCCAGTGAGCTCCCAAAAGGCCTCCCGCTAGGTAGGGATAGGAATATACATTTAAGGATCACTCCCCTGGACGATGTGGGATGTCACACAACCTGTTAAAGAAAATATATTTTAAATCAATAAATAATGAAAATAAACAACTTAATTTGACCCAAAAAAAAAATGGAAAACATAATACTAAATTAGTATATGCATATAATATTATCACATAAATATTACTGCAAAACATAAAAATATAAAAAATATAAAAAATACATTTGTCATTTAAGTATTACAATTACATACTCCAAAATAAGAGTCTAATGAAAAACATTAGTACATTACTATAAAATACCAAATGTTTAAGGATATGCCATGTTAAGGGAGTTGCATTTCAAAGTTGAGAAACCTTGCATGTTTATATATACTTTCACATTTTTTAGACTTGTACATTAATGATTATGTATTTTATTTATTTTGAACTCCCTTAAAAATACTATTCATGAGGGTTTGTATAGTTTTAAAAATTCAAACGACAATGTACCCATATGCATAGTATAGAGGATGCGATCACTAGCTTTTGGATATCTTTTCACATTTTTCACACTTGTAAATCAATTAGTATAATTTTTTTAATGTGTTTGGTATTTTTGAATTACTTGATACTTTTATTTTTAATGTGTGTTATAATCTTTTAATCTTATTCTTTGCCTATAGTATAGTATAAAAATAAATAAATAAATAAAACTTA